AAGGGGGAAAGATTGGAAGGATTGAATGGAAAGGAGAGACAGGGATCGAGGGAGAAAATTTAAAAAGGGACTACAGGTTATCCTTTAATAACTGGTCTGAGGTAGATCCCTCTATTCCTCGTCGCCCTATGGTAGACTTCCCAAATCCCTTCCCACCACCCCCCAATACGATGGTCCCTTTATCTTGGCATGGCCTGGATCCATGAGCAGATCCAGAGGTACTAATGGAACACCTGCAAAGGAGAAGTTCTGATACAATAAAGAGCTAGGTGACAAAGATCTTCTTATCTGGCGCCCTACTAAGGGTGAAGAGGCTCAAGCCAGTACCTACTATGTGCGATCATTTTTTGTTGTGTACACAATGGGACGCTGGACCCGTTTTTCAGCAGGTGCAGCTCCCCACCAATAGATGGAGCGACAAACAGAAAACCTTAGTAGGGAGGGATGCTCTTATCACCCTTCCTACCAGGGTTTTTAACAAGTCTTTAAAAAATAAAAAAAATTAAAAAAAATCAGGGCAAAAAATAGAGCATTTCGGTAGTCTCCACAAGTTATTTGTTAGTAAGTCTAGGAGCCGGAAGTTGGCGAGGAGATCGCCTGGGGTCCATATTCCCCAGTGCAAAAGCACTATTTTGCACTCCCCCTCCAATCAAGGAGAGTACAAAATCAGTATTTGCACTCCGGACCTCACCCCAGACCTTAGTAGAAGAAGTCCCTTTTTTTTTTTTTTTAGCAGTAGTATTAGTTGTAGTAGGGCCAGATCCCACTAGCCCCTACTGTCATTTCTGACCGTTGATCTTCGTAATCCAGGGTAGTGGGATCTGACCTGTAGTAATGGTTTTGAGTTTGCCATGAATATCTCCTGAGAACATGGGAATCCATTTGAAAGCAAACATGTCCAAAGAACATCAATGCTGTCAAAGGGGGTCCCTGGCCTTAAACCACCAGTACCTGGCCCGCGGCGCTTCCCGTATACGCGCCGCGTCATTTGGGCTTCGGCCTGCCGGACCGCATTGGCTGGAGGCCGCAGGCAAAACGAAAAAGAAAATTGCGACGGCGGTTCGGCAGGACTTGGCGCGCAGCGTGCTGGGAGGCTCGGATTCAATAGCTGAGCGAGGTACTGGTGGTTTAAA